AGTGGCTGGCTTACAAGTTTTCAAAATAGACTTTAGTTTCAGAGTGTGAGAGGGAAGGTAGGATCCCCACTGAATAGTTTTCCTCTTGTCTAGATGGGTCTGGTGAAAAGAGATGGGGATAGGATTCATTTGATTCAATAGTGAGTAATTGTTATCAAGACAAACTGTGATTGTCACAATTGTAAAGGTAGAAGTTGAGTAACAGAAAGGGGGGAGTAGTTAATCTTACATTCCAGCAACAGAGGACTCTAGGACCATCAAGAGAGAAGAGCATAAATGGAACATGTGACTCTAACCAGAGAAGTAGCGACACCAGAGATAGGGGTAGAGGTGATAGCATAGAGATTGAGCAGCTGAGCACTCTAGACTCATGGAAAGAGAAAGGCTGTGTGCTGGTGGCCAGGAGGCTGGCTTCCAGAATATGCTCTTTGGTTTTTTAAACAATTATACATTCCTGTGTGGTTTTGTGTGTGTGTGTTTGTGTGCATCAAAAAATAGGAGGGGTTTCTTAATAAAAGAAACAATCTATGATAGTTTTGGAGGGAGGAGGAAATGATTCATGAGCTAGAGTGTAGACATGCATTGACATGGGTGACGGGGCAGGCAATATACAACCTGAGGGAGATTGGCAGAGGAAAGGAGGGAAGAACGCAGGGGTTAAAGTAAACAGGTAAATGTTGTTAATTGTTGGTGCACAGAGGGAATTGCAACCATGTAATGAAACAAAGTATATGATTTGTTGAAAGTAAAACTGATTGATCTGCTCTGTAAACCTGGTTAAATAAAACACACACACACATACACACACATAGGAGGTGAAATCACTGGGAACACCGCCCAGAGGAAGGTTACTGCAAAAGATGCTACTCATAAAAGATCAGGCCAAACAAGATATTACACAGAAGAATGAGATGTGTTAAGATACAAAGACAAAACAAATAGGCTTTTTTTAATTAGACTTGTAAACATTAAAAACACAGCAAATACTGGTTTTAGACAATAGTAAGCAACTGGTCATTTCATGTATTCTTCTGGTGGAAATAACATTCCTGGAGGATAATTTAACTACATAACCTTAGATCCAGCAATAGTATACCTACAACTTTAACCTAGAGAAATCATTTCAGGGATGCCGAAAGACTCCCATACAAGAATTTTGTCAGAAAATTATAATAAAAATTAGAACATAAAGGCTAATAGGGTACTGGCTAAGTAAATTAAGATATTACTTTCCTTGTGTATTGCTTATTTATTTTCTTGTTTTTAGGATAAAACCAAAATCTTTATTTGGGTTTTCATGGCCCAGCATGGTCTGGCCCTCGCCCATTTCTTCAGCCTCTTGTCCCCATATCTAAACATACAGGACTTTTTTTTTACTTTCTCAGACAAGTTGTGTTCTGCCACAAGGTTGTTAACCATATGTCCTACTTCTGAAACACCTCCCAACATTCTAACTCCTACTTGCTCCTATTGATTTTCCAGATCTGAGCTCAAGGATTATTCTCCAGAGATGTCTTCTTTTACTCTCCCCCCAACCATTATCCTCTTTCTCCCTGTTCAGGGCAAGTTCTTCTGTTTCATGCTCTCATAGAGTGAAACAAAGAAAAGAAGAATGAATGCTTCACCTAAACAATGAAACACCATGTAGCCATTAATATGTAGTAGATCTGGGTCTATAACTATAATGTAGATCTATAGTTATGGGCCTAGAAAGATGATTTTTCTCTCTCTTTATATATATAATTTATATACATATATATAATTATATGATATATATATATTTTCTCTCTATATATATAATTATTAAAAAATATAATTAATATATAATTAAAAAATATATATATATATATGTATGTGCATTTTATGCACGGGGGAAAAAAGTCCGAAAATATGAGGGGACTTCAAAAAGTTCAGGGGAAAATCCCATTATGTTTTCATTCAATTCTTCCATGAACTTTTTAAAGCCCCCTTGAATAATTCCAAAGTGTTAATAGCAGTTAACTCAGAAGAGTAGAATTAGAGAAGATTAACTTTTGATTTTTATCATGGTTTCTTTATAATTATATAAGAATTGTATAATTTTTGTAACCTTGTAAAATTATTTGTGTAATAAAGAAATAAGTTCAAACTATTTGTTCAAATGGAGAAGCTGGATAACTCTTAAAACTATTTGTGCATACCTTTATCTCGCTATTCAAAAACTCCTGCACAGAGCTGGTCAGCCTCTGGATGATGGCCTCGCCAAGGGGTCTCTGGTAGGTTGGGTAGCTGAAACTATCTGTGAGGGATTCCTGAGGAAGTCCAGTGATATCTGAGATATCCGAGTCTAATACAAAAGAACAATACCAGATGATGCCTTCTCACTGTGAAAAGCTTTACAGTATACTGAGAGGTCACTGAACATCAGATAGATAGACTCTGTTTTCACCTTTATTACTGCTAGGGAATCCTGCTGAAGTGCTGTAGGATACGCTCTGGACTACTAACCACAAGGTCAGTGGTTCAACCCATCAGACCCTCCTTGGAAACCCTATGTAGGGTCACTATGAGTTGGAACTGACTGAACGACACTCAACAACAACATGTGACCTTGGTCAAGTCTCTTTCTCCTTGAACGTTTTCTCAATGACAAATTTAATGTTCTCCAAAGGCACAAAAACCCTGTAGCAGAATGGCTACGGGCACAAATTCTGAATCTCTGAGACTAGTGTGAATTCTGACTCTGTCATTAGCTGTATGAACTTCAAGTTAAGTCTGTCTCTTACAGCCTTAGTTTCCTTTTCTGTAAAATGGGGAGCTACCCACCTCCAAGGGTTATTGTAAGAGTTATATGAGGTAATACACAAAAAAGGATTTAGCTCAGTATTTGGCACATCTCACTCAAAACTCACTGCTACTGAGTTGATTCCAACTCATAGTAACCCTACAGGACAAAGTAGAACAGCTTCATAGGGTTTCCAAGACTATAAATCTTCACAGAAGTAAGACTGTATCATTGTCTCCTGTTGAGTGGCTGGTGGATTTGAACCACCTACCTTGCAGTTAGCAACCCAATGCTTAATCCACTGCACCACCAGGCTCCTTATCTGACACATGGAGACCTGGTGTGGCACTGCATGTTAATGTGGTGGACTGCAAGATGGGTTGGAACCACAAGGTCGGTGGTTCAAGCTCACCAGATACTCCTTAGAAACCCTATACAGGGTCACTATGAATCAGAACCAACTCCACAGCCCTTAACAACAACAACAACAAAGCATTTAATAAAAAGTAGGTATTATTCAAACTCAAAACTAAGGCTCTGTGGTGATGAGAGCTTAAAATATAGCAGTAGTCCCTTACTCATATTCATCTCTTCCCAGGTTGCAGTGAGTATATGCTGAAGGTGTCTCCTTCCCAATCTGAGACTTGCTTTGATTAAGAGCATGGCTGCAGAGTCAATCAGCCTGGGCTCAGATCCTGGCTCTTCTCTTTCTAGCATTTGAATCTTGCTACCTTCTCTGTCTTCATTTCTAAAATGGGGGTGGATAAGAGCACCAAGGAAGTGTTAGTGAATGCTATTCCTTTGCTCATTGAGAGACAATTATTTATTTGATTATAGTGACATCATTTTCATTTTCATGTATCTTTGCATCCTTACCTCCTCTGTTTCCCCAGAACAAATCCCTTCTCCTGTTGGGCTTGTATTCATACTATCCCTCTTGCTTACAACATCTATCATCTGAAGGCTTCTACCTCTCTCCTTTTGTGCTCTTGTATTCTCTTGAATGATAACCCCAACCTCTAATCATACACTTTTATCCACTAAGTGCAGTAACTGAAGTTATATTCCTCTTTGCACATGATGTTCCTTTTGCCAGCATGTTTCTCTTTCTCTTCCCAACCCCCTTTGCATAGTTACGCCTACTCATCTGTCATCCTTCAGATCTCAGCTTTAGGATGCTTTCCTGAATCCCCTCTTTGCCCATTTTGACTAAGTTTCCTTCTAGCCATTAATAAATCTCTGTCCATTACACTTACTATACTGAATTCCAGTTGCATATAAGTAGACAGTTTTGTTCATTCCATATCCCCAACAGCTATATCAGTGCTCAGAGCACAGTACCAAACAAACAAACATAAAACAAAACTGCTATTACGTCCACTCTGACTCATAGCAATCCTCTGTAGGGGTTCTGAAACTGAAAATCTTTTACAGGAGCAAATAGCCTTATCCTTCTTCCACAGAGTGGCTGATGGGTTTGAACTGTTCACCTTATGGTGGTTAGCAGCCCAATGTCTAACCCACAATGCCACCAGGACTTCTTAGGCTTTAATAAATTTTTGTTAAATAAATGTATGAATGAATGTAGTTCCTCAAATAAACCATTTTTTCCAGTCTCATGCACATGTTATTCTATCTATCTAGAATGCTCTTCACTCTACTTCTTATGTTGGTTGCTCTTTCATATCCTTTATGCCTCCTTTAGGTTTAAATGACACTGCCTCAGATAGGTAGTCTCTGACCATAGTTTAAAGTAGGTCCATGTCTTATTCAGTCCTTTCATAGTACTCAATACCAATTGTAATTACTTTATTTTTGTTAGTCTCACATCTAATTATGATGTAAGTACTCAAAGGGCAGGAACCATATTGATCTTGCTCACTGTTGTATGTCTAGCACCTGGTACTCAATACATTTCTGTAGAATAAACAAAAGATGAGAATTCTGCAGCCCACTCAAACCAACTTTAGCTTCTTGTATGTTTAGAAAAATCTACTCCCATAAAAATGTACAATCTCAGAAACCCTATACAGGGTTGCTATGAATTGGAATTGACTTGATGGCAGAGGGTTTATCTTACTTTGCAAACCACAGTCCAAGGTCTGAAAGTCATGGGTCCAAGTCATTGTCAAGAGTGTAGCCAAGGGCAAGTACAAAATCAATACCTTTTGGTTTAACCTGGAAAGAGATTCTCTTTTCATCAACCCATTTTTTTAAATTAATCCTTTCCCCCCTTCACCTGTAAGATCAAGACTACTTGGGCCTTTTTTAATATCATCTAAGTTGCTCAGCTGCAAATCCACACTTCCTGAGTCATTGTCAGAAGAATAGGGGATCACTACTTCTTCCGGACCATAGAGCCTAGGAATGAAAAGGAGATTGAAAAAATTAGTTGATTTCTGTCCAGTGTCCCTCATACACCTTCCTTTCATTCTGCCCCAGGCTCACTTCTAACACCTAGCTTGCTTTGCCAATTCTTTTTCTTATTTGAATCTGGTTACAGGAGTAAGTCTGATTTGATGTCCCTCTCTTTTTTCTTTCTCTGACTAAAAATTAAATGTTATTAGAGAAGTGTACTCACATACATGAGGGGGTCTTCAAAAGTTCATGGGAAAACTCTGTTATCTTTTCATTTCATTTTCCCAGGAACTTTTTGAAGCCCTCTTGTATGTGCACAAGGAAACATATGTAAGGATGTTTTACTACAGCGATGTTACAATAGAGAAAAAATTGGAAACACCCATTGGGGAATAGTTCAACTAATTCTGTATGGTTCTGAATGGCATAATACTCTGAAATCATCAATGAGAAAGTTGCTGATCTATTTAGGAGGCTTCAAAAAGTTCATTGAAAGAACAAACAAGATGGCGGATCAGGTGGAAGTACAGTTAGGAGCTCCACCGGCTACAACACAGAATACCCGACCAAGCAGGCTCAGGGGATGGTCCCAGAACTCTGAACCACATATAAAGGAATAATTGTAAGGCTGGAAGGCTTACAGCTGGGGGAATTTGTGGCAGAAGCAAGAAATACATTGCTTTCTAGTTTGGGTCACTCAGCTGCTATAGGAACCGCCATCTTGGGTGAGACCAAGGTGGGGAAGGATCGCAGCAGCCGCAGATGCCTGGCAGAACCACAGAGATAAAGGTGTGGAATTCTTTTCTTTTGGTATCTCTTCATTGGTCCCTTGGTATCTGAGCACCTCCATTCTGGTGACTATAGGGGTGCCTGAGCTAGTAGACAACCCAGCCCCACCCTTGGAGGGTTCTACTATGCATGTGCACAGATCTCCTTGAAATTTAAAGAGACAGTTTGTAATTAAAACCAAATGGCCACAGCCAGTCCTGAACTGTTTATAACTATTAAAAAGGTCTGAACAGGGATTGTGGAGCGGGACAAGCAGACAAAAAAGGAAATAGGCTGAAAATTAAATCCTAAGTTACGTCAAAACGACCC